TCGATAAGAATATCATGCGAGACCGTATCAAATGCCTTACTAAAGTCTAGGTATACCACATCCACAGCTTCTCCTTTATCCACAAGACTCGTTATCCTATCGAAGAAAGCTATCAGATTGGTTTGACACGATTTGTTCTTTACAAATCCATGCTGGCTGTTCCCTATCACCTTACCACCTTCCAAGTGTTTGCAGATGATTTCCTTAATTACTTGCTCCATTATCTTCCCTGGCACAGAAGTTAAACTAACTGGTCTGTAGTTTCCTGGGTTGTTTTTTATTTCCCTTTTTATAGATGGGCACTATATTTGCCCTTTTCCAGTCTTCTGGAATCTCTCCCGTCTCCCATGATTTTCCAAAGATAATAGCTAGAGGCTCAGATACCTCCTCTATTAGCTCCTTGAGTATTCTAGGATGCATTTCATCAGGCCCTGGTGACTTGCAGGCATCTAACTTTTCTAAGTGATTTTTAACTTGTTCTTTTTTTATTTTATCTGCTAAACCTACCCCCTTCCCATTAGCATTCACTATGTTAGGCATTCCTTCAGACTTCTCGGTGAAGACCGAAACAAATGTTTATACAGTGTATAAACTGTACTAGGGTATAGTAGGGTCCTGGATTCTAGGTGCTACCAGAGTACACTAGTATTTTCTCTTTTCTAGAGAGAGATTTCATATTACTATTAGATATACGCTGTACATATGCAACTTCTCCCTGTCATTTGCCAAGAGGACCAAATATATCTTGGCTAGCAGATGGTCTGCTCACTAAGTAGTGAAGAGTAACTCAAAGTAAGTCAGGCTGTCATATAGCTTCACTTGCTATAATTTTTTCCTACTTTTAAATTATGTTTGCTATCCTGCAGGACAACTATATATTTTGTTGCAAATAGAGTTATGAGCTGAACTCACTGAGTGGACCACACCAGCACTGATATCCTCTTCCAATAAAGGTCTGAGGAAAGGAAATGAAGCTTGAGTCTGTCAATGCTGAATTGCCGGAGAATCCCACACAATAGTGTTTATATATACCCACACAAAATAAGTTATCTTAAAATGACCTAAAAGAGGAAAATTAGTAAGGACTCCAAGAGCAGTTACTTTGGTGCTTTCTTTAGGGAGGATTAAGCTATCAGTTCATTCAAGATGTCTAGTCATTAACAGATCTGTACATTTAAGCCATCAGTCATGACATATAGCAATCTTTTTAGAGTGTTTTTTAAAACTAATATTGGTTGAAGGTAAAAAATTAGCATAAGAGGCAGGACAGCTGATAAATGGTCTCTTCTGGAGGCCACTGTTCTAAAAGCTTTCCAAAGTATATGAAAAGGGAGGGTACACTTTATTTAAAAAAAAAAAAAAAAAAAAAAAAAGGCTTCAATAAGCATTGAGTTCACAATTGTGGAAATTAACATGTGCATTTTTAAAAATAGCTCAACTGATCTACAATACCACTAAAGTAAGAAATCTGTGGTACAGTGTGTGTGTATATATAGTTTATAGCTAGAATGGATTTCTGTTTTCATTGTCCTGCATTGGGGATAGTGTTTGACCTATTTAAGGTTATCACTATACCAGTGCTTTTCTGTTTGTAATGGTCTGCAGAATTGTGAGAATAAAAGTAACATTAATATTAATAGTGGATAATAAAGAGTGGACTTTAGATAAAAGCATATCCCTTATTCCAGTTGTTCACCCACTGTGGTATTTTTTTTTTCTGCTTAATTGTCAGGAGCATCCTGCAATTTCATCATTATTCCTACCCTGCATAATTAAATGCAGGGAATACATTGGCACCAAGAGCCAGAGCTCCAAGCTAACTGCCTGAGTAACTTTTAGAATTCATGTTTTCCTCTCATCCTTATTACATAGCTGGCCTAGACATGTCAGACTCAAATGTAATGTGTAAATCTTGAATCTTATTTCCAACCACTTAACTTCTAGAAGTCAATACTTAATTCTGTTAATAAGTGAATCATGTATGGAACTCAGTTTGTGGTGGTGTCATTTTTTTCTCCTTTATAAATGCATGCTTTCACTCACTCCCATTCCTTCCCTTGAGAACCTTGTCTCCAATTCTAAGCCCTCCCCTGAAATTCCACTTTCCTTTTGGTCCCTGAGAATTCAAGTTCTCTCAATCAAGGATTTCTGTTGCCTTAAAAAATAGACTCTGACCATCACTCAACTTGTATCCATGTCTGATTAGCCCAACTGTCAAACATAGCATGGCACAAACAAGCCAAAGTGGTTTTTGGCTGTGGGATCAGGAGCTGGGTTGGCTGGGAACCCATGCGCAAAGCATTGGCAGGGACAAAAGAAAATGGAGCTTTGAATTTTCTGTTACAAGCTAACTTTTGAGCTTTTCCACCTTGAATGGTGCTCCTGAAAGGCTAGATTCTAACCACAGCACAAAACTTGATACTATGACACATGCTGCATGTTTGAATTTGGACTCTGGCCCGGAGTCTTTGAAAAGCAGTGTGATGTACAGCAGTGATCTGCCTCAGCAGAAGAGCTGCTCAACAGCAGAAGATGGGGTGAAGAATGCTGACCTAAACACCAGATTATAAAACATGACTATTGCCAAATGAGAGAGTATCCATTGCACACTTAGTGCCTTTGATATAATTTTTAATATTGCATATTTTGTAGACCATTGTTACTAAACATGTTAGACCATTCAATCTAGTTTGTCTCTAATGTTCCCTTCTCCTTGGTTTCAGGCATTCTTCACACTTGCACGGGATATAATGACAAAACTCAACAGAAAAATGGTTTGTACCTTTTACTTTGCAATACATTAACTTTTATGCATGGTGCAGGCTGTTACAAGGACAGAGTTAAAACACTTCAGTTTTATACTTCTAGGAAAACCCACTGTTTTTACGGTAATCTAACCAGCAGCTTTGTGACTGGCAAAAGAAGCAGTCTCTGCATAGACTTGTGATTACAAGTGAAGGCAGGCAATGCTGCTCTTACTGTTCAGCACTTGTGATTAAATTCTCTTCAAAACTATGTAGAGAACATCAAAGTTGCACAGAAACTTTCTGTAAATGAGAAATGCCAGAGTTAAGGTTCCACTCTGCCCCCTTGTGTGCATTCATTATAGCAGTCTTTATTGTATGATCACACATTTCTCAGATACAACTCATTTGCTCTTTCTGTTGCTAAGACTAGGGGACTATGCAAAATATTTTACATTGTACAAGTTTCTACTATGGTGCTATTCTTACAAATAGCATTTTTTTTCCCTTCAGGAAGTGTTCAATTTCCTTCTCATACACAAAAGTGGCTGACCCTCTTTTGCTCACTTTCAAAAAATAAAGAACACCTTCAGGCCTGAAAAACTTTGTTTAAAAAAAAAAAAAACTTTTTGCAAAGCTACATGCATTTGACAATGAGGTATTTAACATGGAAAATGTTTAACCTTAAAGTTTCAGCTATAGTTTGCTTTAATGACTCTTGAACATGAGAGGCTTGGGAATTGACCCTAAATTTACATGATCAGTAAGAAGTGGCCCTCTCTATATGTGAGGGACAAGATACATAGAACAATGATTAGTCATCATTACCTATTTCTAAAAATTTGGACAAGCCTTATGGGTAAACTACTTAAGTGACAAAATACTGAAAATTGAAATAATGAGTGGACAAGAATTTAGCTATGCAAATCCTATTAATGTTATGCAAACCCTTTTTGCAAACTTTGTTCCTCAGATATCTTCCCTTGTTAAATAAAACTTCAGAACAAAAAATGTTTGTGTGATAAATTCTGTGGATCCCATAGCAGTCTACATCTTGTGTACAGATTACATAGGAGATCTCTTTACCAGGGCCGGCTCCAGGGTTTTTGCTGCCCCAAGCAGCCCAAAAAAAAAAAAGTCGCGATTTGCAACACTTCAGCGGCAGCTCTACCGTCGCTGCTTCATTCTTCGGCGGCAGGTCCTTCGCTCCGAGAGGGAGTGAGGGACCTGCCACCGAATTGCCGCCAAAGAGCCGGACATGCCACCCCCCCTCTGTTGGTCGCCCCAAGCACCTGCTTGCTGAGCTGGTGCCTGGAGCCGGCCCTGCTCTTTACCCACCATTAAACAACCATCTCCTGCTAAGAGGTGCATAGTACTTGTTGAATTTATATTTATAAATCTTAGAACACAAAGTGAACACTTAGACTTTAAAAATCCTAAAATTGTGCTGCAGGTTTCTCATAAATCATAAAGGTGGTCCTTACCCCACTAAACTGTCTTACGAACTCAGTTGGCTATTCTTTCAGGCTGGGATTTCCATATGGATGCATTAATAATGTGGTAATTTGAGTTTCCAAACTATCCAGCTCCCAAGAGATTAATTGTCAATTACCCAGTAAAACTGCCCCTCTGCTTACAAATATTTCACTTATGCTTTGGAGGCTGGGGAGTGAAGGAGAAAGGGGAATGCTGAGGTTGCTTTTCTCCATTCATAACATAGTTGCTTTGTTTTTTCAGAATGACAACAGTTCACCAGGGGCTGGTGGGCCAGTGAAAATAACTGAAAATCGATCGAAGAAGAGCAGCTTCTTTCGATGCACGCTACTTTGATGAACTCCTAATGATAGACTGCAGCATACTTAGAAGAACCTTTTCTGCTTCTTTGAAAGCACAGGGTCACAAAGCCTCAGAAATAATACCACCAAGCTGCTGCTGAGAGCTTCAATGAACGTTGACTGCGTTAAACAAAATACCAAGTGGATTTTGCTCACTAAGTCCATCGACCTGTCAGGCTCCTTTTTCTCAAATGTGGAAGCAATGAAGTGGAGACACACAAATGCAGGACTTAATTTTCTTCATTACTTTCTGTTTTAATGTCTGTTGCAAAAGCTGCTACATTTCTTTTAACTTTGCACATACATATTAGCCTTTTTATTGCCTGTTACCGCACAATCTAACACCTGTGTTTGCACAGTTTATTGTCCTGTAAGTAAGTTCTTTAACAGATTTGTGCATTCTTTTTACAAATGTATTTTAAAAAGCCAGAAGGAATAGATTAAATCACATCTCCAGTAGTCTTTGCTCTACACACGTGATCATGTCTGCCATATGGATATGTTTAACATAATGGGGCTTATTAAAACAAATTGGCATTTAAGAACTTGTATAGGTTTTTATTCAGTTTTTCTCACAAATGCACAAATCCGTTCATACAGAAACTACTGCGTCTTGTATTCTGAATGTAGGATGTTTCTTTTTTACTGGTTTTTACCAAACTTAAGAGAATCTTTTTAGAGCAGAGTTGTCTTCTAAATAGATGTAGTTTTTGTCTCATTTGTTGAATGCACCCTTAAAGCATGTGAATGAACCCCAGTGGTCATTCATTTTTCACCTAGTTTTCTTCTGTTAGCCCAACTCATCTGCTCCTTTTTTGTTCTTGTTTCTGATGACACTTGAGTTGAAATTTTCAACATAACACAGGTGGGCATCCTAGCTATCACTTAAGTGACTTGTGGTAGCTAAGCTGAATGAGGGTATACAAAACTCCTGGATTCTGTTCTCCAGTGTATGAAGAGTAATTAGTGATGCTGAGGATGTTTGCTTCACACCTCTAAACCTTGACCCTAGCTTCCTGTGTAGTCACTATAGTTAAGTCCCATCAGTAAAGAAAATGGCACACCAAGGCTTATAATGCAGTATTATGCAGCTGATACTGAATATGTAAAGCCTTCAGTCTGCACAGGCAATTATAGAAGTTAATCATCAGAAACTGGTGCAGTGATTTAGGCTGCTACAAGCCAAGTTGAAACTTAATTGCCTTTCTCACTTCTCTGAACACCTGCAACCTAGTTTATGTATTTTATCACTTGCTTATTTGTTTTTCAAAGATCTCTCTCCATGAATGATTAAAATTGGTGCTTTAGTTTGTTGTGTCAAACTTGACCATTGTTAGCTTTAACTACAAATTTAACAGAGTCCACCACTTTGGTTATAAGGTGCAGATGGATTGTCTTGTTGACAAACTGCTAACTTTTCTGACATGTCTGCTTGTTTCACTACAGTCACTTAACTTTGTGGTAACAACCAATCCACTGGTTAATATGTTAATGTTTCACTCTGCTTCAGTTTGGGATGTCTGGTATTGAATTTGTCATCTTGGGGTCTCTCAAATATTTTGAAACTAATTCAGTGGCTTTCTACACATTCTCCCCACACCGCTACTTAATTACAGTTAAAGTGATCCTTGTAATTAGATTGTGAATCACAATCTCCTATTCTTACTGAACTAGTAAGAATATTTGAGGTAGCAAGAATGTTCAAAACAAAAACAACCCTAGCTGCTCTGGCCTACACTTTGCATTTTTCTGGGACAGGCTAATGCAGTTAAGTTTTCTGTATGATAACAAAGTGCTTTCTATACAGCAACTGTTATGACTTCAGTTATGAATGTTGTTAATTTTCAGTAATTTACCTCTGACTTATTTGGTGTCCTAACACATAGATTTGTATCTTGGGGTTGTCTGCAAACCAAAACTGACATGTTCTGTGGTTGGCAACTTTTACAAAATGCTTTGCTTATGTTGTATTTCCTCTGTCTTCTTTCTATTTGGTTCTGTGTATAAACAAGATTAGTCTCCATGAACTTCCTTTTGAAAGAGCCTGTAAGTGAGAGTCTATAAAGTGCTTCTTGACGCAGCAGCAAATTGGGGTATCTGCTCTGTTGTATTAAAAAGAAAAAAAGAAAAAAATCCTTGCTATTTTCTTACATTTAGCTATGCTAAACTGTACATAAATTTGAGGTAAGACCATAGGAAATTCACTTTATGCATGATAAAATGATACAGTAAATATTTCACTTTGCTTAATGTTCATATAATGCTCATCTTTCTCTATTTGTAGAAGGACTTAGTGACAGATAATTTTGTCTGTCCCCTGCTGAAACTGAAGAAATCCAGTTTCATGTGAAAACATTATGGTCTTATGGATAAGGTAAAACAGATTTTTTTTGCAGCAGTATTAAGTGGTTGAAGGGCCGCACTTTATCAGTATATTAACTTTTGATAATGGTCAACATAGACCTCTTTACTCATACAGTCTGTTGTCAGACATTGAAAAATGTGCTGTATTTTAGCATGTAAATCAGCTGATTATGTTTCACTGGGAACTTTTTCTAGCTATATTTTGCTTTAGGCAAGCAGACAAATAATAACTGTTATATCTGAGCATCAGTTGCTGGGTGCTGCAGGTTTTCCGAATACCAGTATGATTGTTTTGTGCAGTCTTTTTTGTTGTAACTTTACTCAAGACTATAATCTTAATTTTGAAAGACTCTTTAACTATACCTCAGTTGACTAATATTCTAATATCCATTAAAACAAAAGTGATCCAATTATTATTCATTATACAAAGCAGAAAATGTGCAGCCTGCCTTGCTCTAAAGACCTCCATTAGTCTTTAAGGAAAGGCAGGCATTTCTTTGGGTTTTGTTAGGAATAGAAGCTACTTGCTATCAAGTTGGGGTTTTTCCCCCCACAATTCTCTTCTTCCCTCCCAGTTTGTGCAGTGTGTTCTGTTTTTTTTATAAATGGTGAGAAAATAGAACCTGAAAATATATGGTCTCAATGCTTCTTTTTCTATAGCTTTCAATCCTGTGATCAGCAAAACATGCACATAAAATGCTTAGTTCTTGTTGAGAAGACATAGAATACTTGATTTAGGTTTAGTTATTCAATCTCTTGAAGTTTAATTAATGTTAAAACTTCGAAACCACATATTAAATGTAATGCAATTTACCTTTATTGAATGTGGGGGTTTCTACAGTACTAGTCAAGGTTTTTGAAAAGTGCAGTTTTATAAATGGGGTATTTCCTGTCACAAGTGCATTTCCTCTTTGTCTTTTGTTTGTCAAGTGAAATCACATTATTTTCACAAGCCAAAAGTGGAGGGGGTGTATTTTTGAGGGGGTGGGGGGAGGGAAATTCTGAGAAGAACTCTTGGTGGGTAACAACTTGGAAGATACATCAGTAGTATATAACATGCATAAATGTGTTGCTAATTTGTGGCAATGCATCGATCATCTGATTATGTAATCAAGTGAAATTTGCCATGTTAAAGTTTAAGAACAAGCTACAGATACTGGCTCCTTCCCTCTACTGCCCCCAAGCTGCTTGTGCCACATTACTCTTATTAATATACTTTGTATTTCAAAATGCCATGTAAAGGCAGGACTTCTCACTTTTTCTTTGTTTCCAGTGAATTTAATTGTGTTAGTGCATTCCTATGGCCTTATAAACATATATTTTGCAAATGACACTTTTACTTGGGATTACAATTATTTTAATGCAATATACAGTTACTAAATTCAGACTAAAAAGCACGGCCCTAAAGAAAATGCTTAATTTTCAAATAGAATTGTTCTACCATGTGTGTGTTTAAGCACATTTTATCACTGCTCCAAAGGCGTAATGTGAAAATCCTGCAGATAAAGTGAACTTGTCATGTTAACTTGTAAACTTAATCATTAATTGTGTACTGATACTGTGTTAAAAAAGAATGGTTTTATTATTCCATGTGAACTTTTTTTACAATAATGTGCATCTCAAATAAAATTACGTAATGAAAAATATTCAGCTTCTTCTATGAAGTAACTCCATGTAATCAATCTTATGCAAGTTGCATTTCCACTCTATTCTAACACATGATTATGTTGGGGAGGGTCCAACATAACTCATGCCTGAGGTTTTGTTTAACTTCAATAAACTTCCTGAATAGCTTGCTTGCTTGCTTCTGAAATTGACTCTTTTGGGAGTAGCTTCTTCAAGAACTTCTATCCCTATATACTAATTCCTTCTGCATCAGAACAAGGGGAAGTTTTAAGGTGATTACTAGGAGGGAACACTTGAATATCTTAAAGATACGTGTTAAGGAGTGGGAATACTCTCCCAAAGCATGTGTTGAAAGCAAGACTAGACAAACACTAGTAGATGTAAAGTGGGGTGCAATCCTGCATTACCAGAGAGACAAGTGGGGTGGGGAAGAAGTGGAAAGTATTGGGCCATCTAGTCAATCTCTAACATCTGTGATTAAATAAGCTTATGGGGGGGGGGGGGGAGGAGTCTTTCATTCTCCAATAGACTTTGGCATTCTGAGGCACATACAATTGACTGCCCCCAGCAAATACTAGGACTGCCCAGGCTAATTCAAATGCTAAATGAGTATTGAGGTGTCTGACAAAAGTAATTGCTAACAATTGCATTACTAGCAGTACCAAACTTGGCAATTAATACAGTTAACTTTTTCACCCATATCTAAGCAATGCACTTGTAATTTTAAACAGGGACTATTTGGGAAAGGATTGAATCTATTGCATCAAAATGGGAAAATGAACAAACAAAAGACATCTTGTCTTAACACTTTTCTATAATATCAGTATCCTTTATTTTAAAACTATCTTCCCCAGAAGTCATCACCGTTACTTCTGGTCTCCAAACTTAAAACCTCTACTGAATTCAGAGTCTGCCAATGGCCTCATAACATACCCACTTATCTAACTTTTCTGCCTCCCAGCAGGGTGGATTTGATTTACCGTATATACTCGTTCATTAGCCCGTTTGTTTATAAGCCAACCCCCCAAGATAAGATGGTTAGGTAAAAATAGCAAAAACTGAATGACCTTTCATAAGCCGACCCTATATTTCAGGGGTTGGCAAACTTTGGCTCCTGGCCCGTTAAGGTAAGCCTCTAGCGGGCCTGGACATCTTGTTTACCTGGAGCGTTCACAGGCACGGAGCCCCTCAGCTCCCAGTGGCCACGGTTTGAAATTCAATTCAATGATTCCATAGAGTTAAAAATCATCAAATTTTGGTGTAGACCCGTTTATAAGCCAACCCCTGCTCTTTGATGCGTCACGTTTTTACCAAAAATATTCAGCTTATGAATGAGTATATACGGTAAATCAGTTTAGTGATTGAAATCATGATTTCAATCACTCAGGAAGACTTGATTTAATCATGGATTTGTACATAAAAGTGCGTTCTTCTTGGTTGTTATAACCTTAAGACACATTCTCCACAACTCAGAGATAGATGTTGGTTTCATTTTTAGAAGGTACACTACATTTTTAAAGTGATTTATTTTGAAACTTTTCAGATTAGTTTTACAGCTATATCAGAAAATGAATGATTGGTTATTTCATTTGCCAAAAGTAATTGAAGCAGATAGTTCACCTCCCAATGACTTCATAAATATCTCCAATTCCACAGGTTAATCATTAATATTTGGAGGATTTTCTTGCCATGCTGTATTAGGAGGAGAACATCACCAGACAGACATGTAAATTGTTTTATTTAACTAAAACAACATTATGTATTCTGGATTATTTCTTCAATTGCAAACATAAAATATTTTAACAAAACAAGCATATGAATTTTTGCATTTAGTTAAAAATTGAAGTTTTTTAAAATCAGGGTGGTTTTTTTTCTTAAAATTGTTTAACTAAAACAGTTAAATGAAATATTTAAAAAAAACAAAAATTAAATGGACTATGACAGCCAGGTCAACATGAGAAACTTAAAATATTGGCTTCTGCAGCTAACAGTCGTCTTCACCTTCATTTTCCTGTTTGTTCATAATCTGGAAAAGAAAAACAAGCTTTCCTGCTTTTTCAGGTCCCATAGGATTTCTCAATTTGGAATGAATTAGTCCACAGGAAGAAAATATTCTTGCTACACCGGCAGAAGAAGTTACTGCTGTTAAAAGTGAGATTATCACTTCAACAGTCTCTGAATCCAAGTGCTTAAGTGACTGCCACCAATTCACTGGTGTGACTTTCTTTAAAACATCATCAAACATATATTTCTTGAATGGTTCACTCTTATTTCAGAAGTTTATTATAGTTGGCATCATGGAGGGATGATTGCTGGATGTCCATATCATAGCCAACTCCTCTTCTTCAGCAGTTAAGGCTTGACCCTGATGTAACGGGTTAGATCACAGAACCCCCCTTGGGAGCCGTCGCCTGATGTGCCAAGACTGCTTCTGCCCCGGTTTTCCTGCCTTGTCAGCTTAGGACTTCAGTGCCCTGCCTGGTTTGAGCCAGATTCGCTAGCCTGCTGCAAACCCAGACCCAGGTCTGAATCACATCCCCTAACAGCTGTAGGCTTACGTGAAAGCAGCTAACAGAAGCGTTCTTGACTTTAACACTCAGATGCCGAACTCCCAATGGGGTCTAAACCCAAATAAATCCATTTTACCCTGTATAAAGCTTGTACAGGGTAAACTCATAAATTGTTCGCCCTCTATAACACTGATAGAGATATGCACAGCTGTTTGCCCACCCAGGTTTTAACACATACTCTGGGTTAATTAATAAGTAAAAAGTAATTTTATTAAATACAGAAAGTAGGATTTAAGTGGTTTCAAGACAAAACAAAGTAAGTCAGCAAGCAAAATAAAATAAAATGTGCAAATCTATGTCTAATCAAACTGAATACAGATAAGATCCTCACCAGTTCCAGAATGCTTCCTTTTACAGACTAATCTGTTAGTCTGGGTCCAGCAATCACTCACACCCCTTGCAGTCGCTGTCCTTTGTTCCAGTTTCTTTCAGGTATCTTTGGGGGTGGAGAGGCTCTCTCTTTAGCCAGCTGAAGACCAAATGGAGTGGTCTCCCCTGCCTTAAATAGACTTTCTCTTGTGGGTGGAGACCCCCTCCTCTCTCCTATGCAAAGTCCAGCTACAAAATGGAGTGTTGGAGTCACCTGGGCAAGTCACATCCCCATGCATGACTGAGTTCCTTACCAGCCAAGCCACATTCCTAGGAAAGCCTAGATGTGGATTGGTGTCTCTAAGTTCATTGTTGGCTTAAGTGTTTCTTGAGTGGGCACTTACTGAGAATAGTCTTTTCTCAGGAAGCTGACCAACTGCTTCACTACAGCCTACTTAGAATCAAACAAGTATGCAGCCAATATTTATAACTTTAAATACAAAAATGATACATGCATACAAATAGGATTAATAGGTTCAGTAGATCATAACCTTTACAGAGATATGTTACATGGCATATGCAGCATAAAACACATTCTAGTTACGTTATATACATACACATAAGAATATTTCCATAAAGCCTTATGGGGGGCACCGACCGTCACACCTGGTACCTAGTATTGAGAATATTTGCAAGAAAATGAGCCGAAGATAGTGCTTGTCCCATTTGGTTTTTAATGCTTGTAATTTAACTCCGTCATTGCATATTTCTCTTTTTAAGATCTCACTCAGTTCCTTCCAAATCTCAGTGTCAGCAACAAAACAGCTATTTCCCTGTCCCTCCCTTTTCACATTTATCTCCAGACTTCTTCTCCTTGTCCAGCTCTATTCCGCCCCAAACAATAGTCTAGTCATTGAACTTTTTGAAACTTTGCACTGTTAGAGAGAGGTAAAAGATTGACTGAGTACACAAATTTGCAGAGGGACAATAGGGTTGAGGTCTGTTATTTCTCACGTCTATATATATATATAATTTATTTAAAAACACTTTTGCTGTTAACAAGCATGTTACTCGGGAGATACACATCCACAATTTGAGAATTGCAAAATTAAGCATCTCTGATGGTATCTTCTAGACTAAGCACTGAGTCCCAAAGATTAACCTAAATAATTATACAGAAGCCTCTGGAACCCCATAAGATTGGGTCCCTAATCCATGAACTATCAGAACTCATTTACACAACTTTTCTTAAACATTACATGAATATATTGTCTCATACTATAGAATTAGAATTTATAATCCCTATTCCATGATGAGATATCTTTGAGCTATAATGTATCTTTATCTTTAGATAGGTTTTTTTTCCTCAAAGCATTTTATCATTGATTTTTATCCACCCTGCCTCCCAGTTTGATTCTCACTTGGACACAGTGCTAATACATATCACTACTACATCTTTACCATTGAATGCAACTAGTGCCTAAACAATTGCTAAAATCTTCCTTCTATATGTCCTTTGGCATAGCATAACACAAGAAGATATCCAACCTCTTCATTCTGAGAACTACTTCATAAGAGCTCCTGTCATTGACCACCACCTTCTTGTCCCCATTGCTCGTTCACACTATTACTTTTTGTGAATCACCTAAAGACTGGTTAGAGAACTGCAGACTTGGGGCCAGGTTTTTTAGATGTGCTGATAACTTGCACCTCCTGATTTGAACTGGTTTTTGATACTCAGCATGTCTGATAATTGAGCCCTTTATCTCAAGTCTTGGAGATATAATAATTGTTCATTTTCCCCCTACAACAGCATCTTATTTTGTGTATATTCAATTATTCTAGTCTCTTCCCTCCATCTCCAATAGAAACTTTTACCCTTCATTTAAAGAAAATGGTGCTTTTATTAAAATTTGTGTAAATTCTCATCTTTATTTGGGTAAAATTAGTTTCAATATAGTGCCTCATCTGTCCCAAAAAAGATGACGTCTTTGAGTAGTGTCCCTATGGATGCTCCACTGTAGGTGTGTTTGCATCCCCGTGCCGCTGATCAGAGACCTTTGGTAGCAGTCTGTCCTGCCTGCACATGTGCTGCTCCCCGCCTGCCACGAGACTAGCCAGCGCATGCAGACAATCCCTCCTT